AAATTGTTTTCCCAGTCTAGTGAAGACATAAATATATAACTACATAGTTTCTTGGTTGGGAAAGGCTCTGTTTTTAGAGAGCTTTCAGGCGGGTGGGGGCTCATTTCTCCTTCCTTCGGAGTTCACCCCCCCCCCTTTTTTTGAACCCACAACGCTCGGTTATTAGCGAGGCCGGGAAAGTTGCTGGTTCCTGACCGTGCATTAACGAAACTGAGCAAACCCTAAGGCTGCCTGCCTCCCTCCCGGCCCCAGGTCTGCCGCCGGGGCTGCATCTGGTCCCTGGGCAGGCCTGACACGTTTCCCCTCGCGGCGTCGCGCGCCCGCGCGCACTCTTCGACAGGTTGTAGGCTGAAAAGCGCGTCCGCGTCGCTTGCTGCGAGGTGGTGGGGGGTCGAGGGCATTGGGTGTGCGTGTGGCGGGGGGGAAGTGGGGTGCTCACTGCCTCAGCTCCCGCTAGCAGCGCTTTGCGGAGGCACGGCGCTGGCCGCCTCACGGCCGGCGCCTCCAGACGCGAGATGCACTGCTGGAAAGCAAGAGCGCGGAGGAGAGGCTCCGTCTCCTCCATCTCCTAGGAGGGACGCTTTTGCCTTAGCAAGGCTCGGCGCCATAACATCCAATTCAAGGGCAGCGAGACTCCGGCGGCCAGCGATGGATTCGGCGGGTGAGTGGCGGGGACGGGGGCGGGGACACCATCGCTTGCTGCTCTGCGGAGAGAGGCGAGGGGGAAGTGCCCAGCGTAGCAAAACCTCCCTCCCGACGGCAGAATGAGCTTCGCTTATCTGTTTCGATGCTCCTTCGCGTGAGTTTCGCATTTCCTTCTGCCTCCAATGAACTTGGAGCCGCCGCAACGTATCAGCGGGAAAGGCGGTCTACCTTTTCGCTAGCAATTGCTGGAATTGTTGGAATCGCTCCGGGAAGGAAAGTGCCAATGTGATTGGTTTCCTTTTAAAAGTGCGGCGTACAAAGTTGACGGGAGATGTAAAAGTAAACCTCTAATCCAGTTTTCTCATTCTAAGCCTTGAAAGCAACCTGGTGTGGCGGTTAATAAATTCAGTTGTGATTCCTGCTTAGTGATGCAAAAGGATTGATTCTGGCTCTGCCTTGAAGGAAATACCTTGCATACAAATGCTGAAGTTTCCAAGAAAAGGAATATATTCGGAATCTTGTTACTTCCCGATGCTGAATTCTTGGTGTGAATAAGGCTTAAATGCCTACCATGAATTTAGTAGCGGTTAGAGTGTAAAGTATTTGCCAGAGAAGAATGTTAGTGGAACTAGAAATTCTGACTTTTATAGTTAAGAACTGACTTTCTTAACCTGAACAAAAATATCCTAGCTTGTATTTCAGTTTCTAACAGTCACGTAGTGTATATATTAAGGTTAGGGATTCTCATGATTGTGTTTGATGGTTTTGTACCATTTGTTTTGTATTGATTCTTCAAGCATGAAGGCTCCATTAAGAGGAGCTTTCAATTAGCTTGTTAACTTGTATATTCATATGTAGGCACTGTATGATTGACAGTTTCCTATTCCCTGACCCAAATCTGCTGTCCATTCTTCAGTGATTTTCAGCATTTACTACAATAAGGTGGGGATCTCAAACTTAAAACGTCCAAGTAGTCCATAATTGTTCATTAATCTGAGGGCTGCTACTGAAGCCCTCTCATAAATTGATACAACTATCTCTGGAAGTTGTGAAGCTGTTGGGTCTGCATTCAAGACTCTGGTAGCCTCTGGTAATGCAGTATCACTGAAACTCCAATCTTAATATGGTAGTTGTGGAAAGTAAGGAAGATGACCTTATTGAGAATATGCAGGAACTAGACAAAAGTGTTGGGGTTAGGCTGAGATGTTTTCAAGATCCAGAGCAAAGAAATAACATTTGGAAGACGCTTAGGCAGATACAATACCTCCCTGATTCACAGTAATATAAGAAGAGAAAGAAGTATAGCACAGACTCTAATTAAAAAAAAAACCTTAAGAGAATGGATGAAGAGCCACTGCCAAGGGAATGGTCAGATAAGAGACAGCATGGCCCAGAGATGGAGAGGGCATGAGGCTCAGAGGACACCACCTGTCTTGGGCTGTAAGGGAGGCCTATATTTCAGGTTTTATATAATATGGGTTTATAATAAAATGGGATTAGTTCATCGGGTCCTGATTCCTATCTGGTTTACCTAGTGAGGCCAATATCAATCTTGCAAATCTGAGCAGATCATAGAGTTCTAAACATTGCTGATAGCCTAATAGATTCATTAAGTGGTGGATTTGGCTAACTGGAGCAATTATTCAATTATTGGACATTGGGAATGTATACCAAATATATTCAGTATATACTAATTTCCATCTTTGAAACTAGAACCAGATTCTAAAGATCACATCAGCCAATGAACTTAAACTTGAACTTTAAAGGCTGCTTTTAATTATCCAAGGTAGATATTCAAGTTCATACTGGACTTACAGTTTTACAGTTTCCATGTACATAAGAGAAAATTGTCTTCATGTGACCCAAATAACTATCCACATAAAAATAGATGATGAAGCTATACATGTTTTTTTTTTGTTCTGTGCAGAAAAAAAGCACATAATATTGCTAAGAATAGGACACTCTACCTCAGTGTTGCTTTTTTTGGCAGTTTTTCCATTTAAATCAAAATAGTGGAAAATACTTTAATATGCTTAACACATGCTGAACCAGAATTTAATTGTTAGATGTGCACTCTGAATGGACTGTTTAGTAACTCATGAAATGGATGGGCTAACAGATGTTGATCTTATCCTCTTGATTTTCAATGTGTCTTTGTTGAATGCTAAGGTCCCAAGGAGGATTCTGTTGATATTTTGTTGAATATTAGCAGAACTCTCTGTGTGATCTGGAGGACTCTGCTTGATCTCAGTGGAGAGTTGTAATTGTATGCAGGTGAACATGAGTCAAGAAGTAGGAAGGCATTCTCAGAGATATGGCTGATCTAAACATGTGCACAACATCTGTCATGCTCATTTAAATACCTTGTTTGGTCTTGGCATCCAATCAGGTTTTCTGTAATTTTGAAATGATCATGTGGCAAGAGACTTACTATATGCAGCATACCTACAACATTGGGTGCATTTCTTCCAAAGCTGTTCCTGTAAAGAAACTTCTAGGATGTGAGAGGAAGAGAGTGACTTTGTACTTGGGAGTTCTAACTTCAAAATATAGTCAGTAGTTTTATTGAAGTTCTACAGTTAAAATTATTTGGAAAAGAAAGTTGAAGCCGTGAATTCCAATATTTTATTCTAGTTGGCAATGTTTTCTGCCTTAAAGATCAGGTAATGGCTCCCTCAAGTTGAACACAGATTCTTACACTTATAATTTTATTGGTAGTAGTAATTTGCTATTGTTTTCTTCCAGAATTTCCTAACTACAGCTCTGAGATTTTTGTAGTCTTCCATCTGAGTATATCTTAGATACAACTTTGCCTAGCTTTTTTGAGATCCTCCAGGGTATTTCTGCTGTGGCCAGGAAATTCCAGAATTATAGTCTAGACTGGGAGATAGATATGGGTATATACACATACACACTCAGTAGAAAATTTACCTTCACCTCCTAGATGGTATGTGAAAAGGCTTTTGCTGACACTTTTGTGACTTGGAAGATGTTCAGTGGTTATCTGGAAAGTTTCCTTATCTGTTCCATTGTCCATTCCTCATTTGTCACCTATATCATCCTCCTGCACTTTCTGCAATACTTAATACTAGTGTAAACAAGCAAAACCAATAAAAGCAAAAGATACAAGGTGAAACCATTTGTACTCCCAGTGTATGTACTAATACATCTGGGGGGAAAAACCCATACTTAAGCTACTTCTGTGCTGTATACAGGAAAATATAATGTTTTTAAGTCGTTTAATGAGTCTCTATCTACTTTTCAGGTTTATATGGAGAACAGATCATATTTTAGGTCATATTTATGTAGAAATATTGAAAATTCAGAAGGGTTCACAAGCTTTTAAGCACCACTGTATTATCTTCAAAATAACTGTTAACAAAAAATAAAGAAAACAATATGAATATTGTAGAATATGTAAAATAGATTATTATCTGAAGTAGAAACTTAATGTATTGATTTTGCTTCTTATTTTTTATTTGAGATATACTGGAAAAATCACAATCCTGGATTTTGGCAGTATGAAATTGAGAGGCTTTAAGCTGGATACTCAGAGTTCTTGGGTTGTTCAGCCTTTTTATAATGTTGCGTTTATTTATTTGTTTGTTTGTTTATTGCCCATCTTGTATCCAATGATTCTGGGTGTCTTATAGCATTAAAACTTTATTAAAAAAATAAAGTTTAAAATCAACAATCTGAACACTGGATAAAATCATGAACAAATACAAACTACTGACACCAGATGGGAAAGGAAGGAGCCAGACACATGATGGGGGGTGAGTGGGGGGTGGGGAGGTGGAATTAAATTTTAGTTAGTCAACCACCTCCAGTATGAAGCTCCCCATTGGATCCCCAAGCCATCTGGCAGAGCGAGGTCTTCAGGGTGTTATGAAACGTCAGGAAGATAAGAGCCAGTCTCATCTCAGAGATAAGATGTTCTAGAGAGCAGGAGCCCTTTTGCCTCATATCTGTGTTTTCTGGACAATAAAGTATTAGTAATATTTTCAGAGGGATAGTGGTCAGTATTGAAGGCTGCCACTTCGATGATCTTCCCATGAAAGCAGTAATTGTACAATTTGTGTTATATCAGGAATTGAGGAACAATATTCTGAGAAACAATTATAAGCCCATTATACGATCTACAATGTCCTGTTTTTTTTCTGGATGATTTGATACATCTTTGTATCTGACAAGTTCCTCACCAAAAATATGAAAAAGCTTTCTTTTGAAACTGATGAAACTATGGTTTTGAAAGAGCATGGAGCTTACATTTTAAACCACAATTGTATACTTATGCTGAACTCCAGATATAGCAGTATATTTGTGGTTTATATGTTTTGTACAGCTGGTTGGAATAACTATTATTACTTCTCATGTACCATTTCTAAAAAATACTAAATATGCTTGGAAATGCATCCTTGTGATATATTAATAAAATACCGAATATAAATTTTCATTAACCTGACTGGTCCTATTCGTGCAAATGAGTTAAATGTTAAAATAAGCTTAACTGACTTATGGTCCATTCCTGACCTGATAGTTTGACTACAGGTCACAAATTGTACTTCTTTTCCATTGATAGGCTTTAAGAAAAAAGGGACAATAAATCCATTTGGGCAAAATAATTCCAGCAAGCTGTCTTAGCTGCAGAATAAGAGGATGTAAAGGAACTTCAGCTGTTTTTAATGTCCTATTAAGACAGGCTAGATATTTTCCCCATTGAGCTACAGTAAATATTGGGGTGTATTAACGAGGGTTAAGAATTTTTAGAACGTTCTGTATCCTCAACACCTTCCTTATGCCACTCAGCTGCTGGCACATCTCTTTGGGAGTTTTCTGACGTGTTTTTTTTTAATCTCAGAAAGAACCTCTCATAGAGTTTCCGAGAGAAGCACCAAGAATGTTGAATCCCATCTTTAATCAATGGAGTATTCTCTGCAATCTCAGAGGAGAAAGCAGATCAATCTGGCCCTATGGTATGAAACTGTAACACGATTTTGTAAATCCTTGATAAGT